GAGAGTGAGAGTGAGAGTGAGAGAGAGAGAGTGAGTGAGTGAGAGTGAGCGTGTGTGAGTGAGTGAGAGTGAGGGTGAGAGTGAGAGCCAGCATCTGAGAGCACAAAGTGCTGCGCCTGCGCCGAAATCTGCACTTCGAGGTTCACAAAGTGCTGCACCTGCCACGAAATCTGCACATGGAGGTTCACCAAGTGCTGCGCCTGCCACGCAATCTGCACATGGAGGTTCACAAAGTGCTGTGCCTGCCACGAATCGGCACCTAGAGGTTCACAAACTGCTGCACCTGCCACGAAATCTGCACATGAGGGTTCACAAAGTGCTGTACCTGCCACGAAATCTGGACTTCGAGGTTCACAAAGTGCTGCGCCTGCCACGAAATCTGCACATCGAGGGTCACAGAGTTCCTTGCTTGCCGCGAAATCTGCAAACGAGCCACATCTCTGAAAGTCACGATTCACTACACCTGTCACGAAATCTGAGCTCCGCAACGATCAAAGTGCAAAGCCTGCCACGAAAACTGCATTTCAAAGTAAAGCAGCTCCGATCCCTTGCCCCTGTCACGAAAGCGACCGCCATGTGCAAAAATGCGCTCGGCACCACAACGAGAGCGCAGTCGCTAGAAGCACCCGCTGCTGGCACGCAGATTTTGCGAGCCTGCGCAGTCGAAATGCACATTGACGATGTCGAGAGGCATGAATGTACTGTAAATAGCAGCGAATTAGCCGTCCACGCCCGCGCGCTTCAGCGATCTAAGCATCAGCTGCTTTTCTTTTTCTATCACCGTAAGAACCCCCAAGTGTGTCCACACTGTTTGGGGAAAAAAGTGCCCGGCCAAGCTCCAGGCCATGAACAAATTCAACTCCAAGTTCTTCACAGTCCAGTCCTCTTCGGTCTGCAGTTTTGCCCAGCTCTCATCCAGCTGCTGCATCACCTCTGGGATCACGACGCTCGGATCTCCAGCCTCGCGCGGCTCCAAGGCCTGCGCACGCCTGCGAAGCTCAGCGGCATGGATCTCCAGCGTCGCGGATTGGCTGCGGAGCTCCTCCCGCAGCCCCAAGCTGTTTTCCGAAAACACGTCAGCCGGGTGTGGAGATGCTTCCCATGGCAATCAAAACCGAAAACAAGTTAGTTATAGAAATACATAGAAGTACTGTAGCATATCACTGGAATTGGTACAGTAAGCATCAAACTCTGCCAGCGAATCCTTCAGAACAAGAGTTTTTATGGTAGTTTATGGCATAGTTTCACATAGTTTCTATGGCAGTTCATGGCGGTTTTGCTCTCCCAAAACGTCTCACTGCCTTGGTTTCCAGGTGCACACTTGCCAGGCCCTCTTGGAGCCCTTGGAGCAGCTTGGAGCGCTCCAAAAGCTCTGAGCTTCGCTTGCTCAACTCCTGGAATGGGCAGTCAAAGGAGCAAGGAGCTTGGAAGATTCAAGTGGACAATCTTCCAGCTTTCTCTTGGCCAAAAGCACTCCACTTGGGATTCGAGCCGAAGGGTCCACCTGGGGGTCAAGATGCTGAAGGCATCCTCTTTTTTCAAGCCCTTTTTCAGCCACTGACGTCGCCAGTGTTAGTCTTTCGCGGTTGGACCTATGAGCTGAGGAGTTTGGTTGACCCGTCTGCCACTGCACACGAAGTCGTCTAGAATCAAATCAGGTCGATAATCGAACCGTCAACCTCCAAAACTATATATCTTCCAAATAGGCACCTAACCCCCCACCAAACTAACATGGAGCCCAAATATCTCCAGCTTAATAGATAGTCAGTCCTTTCATGCAATCCAGTCCTGCGCTTCCAAGTGCTCCTCTTCCTCCTCCCTTCGCAGCTCGTCTGCTTGTTGCTCCTCCAGGAGCTGCCGTGCGCGTCCGTGCCGCGCCGCCGCAGCAGCTTCAAGCTCCAGTTGCGAGGCAGCAGCATTTTCCATGGCCAGTTGCGCCTCTTTTCCTTCAAGACGAACATGAATACGGGAACCGCCGGAACCGCAACTCGATTTTCCCCTAGGGTCTTGACCTAAGGCTTCCGTGGGTCCTTCCAACACACCTCATCCATACATCAGTTCTTGAATTCATATGTCAAACATTGGTTGTTCGCATCCTGTCGTCAAAAGTTGGTTGCATCAGATCGTTGGACCCACGAGGGCTAAGCCGGGGCTCACGAGGGGCTAAGCCGGGACCGGTCCATGGCGAAGGACTGGTCCATGGCGAACGCTAGCACTTCCGGGGACCCGGGTGGAACCCCAAATCCAAAGAACACGAGTCACATGAAATCACTTCGGTCACACCTCATGGACCAAAGAGGCCAAAGAGGTGCGTTCTTTTTTTCTCCGGGGTGGACGGCAGAAGATCGCGCACGCCATAAGCATAGCCTACCAGGCTACCAGTGCAGTACAGTAGGAGTGACACCATTCAAAACCCGAAAAAGTGGAAGGCAAAAAGGAAGGCACACAGAATGTCAAGCAGGTTTTTGGATAGAAGGAGGCGATTCGAGTGAAAAAAAAAAAAATAGACCGGACACTCAAATTGCCATTGTCCACGCAGCTGCCTTTGGAACAGCAAAAAGTAGACATGCGGAAGAATCCACTCCCCGCTGGAGACCTGGTGTGAATCATTCATTGCTCAATGACAGGCTCTGTGGAAGGTGTTGCACGACATTTCCAACAGGGTGACTACTGGAACAGGAGACTCCTTCAAGCCCTACCCTCTGTTACACCAATTGGAAAAGGATTCATCAACGAACGAATCCTCCAAGCGTCCCGCAGCTTGTGCCCAGCCCTTCACCGCCACAGCAAAGGTCTTGGCCGCCTGGGCCGCGAAGCTGGCTTCGTCAAAGCTGCGTCTGCTGTCGGCTGCCTCGAAGGTGGCCGCGGTCAGCAGGTGGCGTTCCTTGCTGCAGAGCTGCTCTAAGCGTCGCAGCGGCGCCTCCAGCGCCGGATTGGAAAGCAAAGGCTGGACAGCCAACTTGGAGCAGGAAGTATCCTCCAGGGCCGTTGGGTTCGGACGGACGAAAAGCAGCAAGAGCTGGCGAAACACTCTCGGCTCCTCCCACAACCCCCACTAAATGCCAAGTGCTTTTTCAAAGACCAAATGTTAAACAGCTGATGCCACACATCAACTATAAAATACTGTAAATACACATGTACAAAGTGTGTGTAATCTGTGTCCCTACAAATCTAGGAACCAAATCATAAGCGTGAGCTATTCTGCGTTCTAGGTAGGAGCGTCCAGTACCAAGAAGCTTAAATAGTCTACTAGCGACTCCCGTTCGCATCTACTAGCTACCTATAGTGCTACCTCCCTCTTCTTGGCAAAAAGCACAGAACCCTTTTCATTTCCATCCTTCGCCGATGCGTCTGCTTCCTCAGCTTCCAGCTTCCGATGCGCCTGCGCCAACTCGTTGGATTGCTCTCGGAGGTGGAGGAGCTCGGCCGCCGCGGTCTTGTACTCCAGCTGCATGTCCTGCTGCAACCCCACTAAGGATTCCATGCGCTCAGGCCACTGCATTTGATCAATCCTGGGTGCGTTGGTGAAGCGCAGAATCTTTTTCTGGGGGATAACATGGGATAACCATTCCCAGCATGGGGATTCAAGAATAAAACGCGACAGCATTTCAAAAGACCACCCAGCATCTGAGTATTCTCAATTTCTCTTTGGGACCTGGCCGCAGAAGAGAGCTGGTGGGCCAATTGCTGTTGGTGTGCCAATTGCTGCTGCAGTTGCTGACAGCATTGCCCCACGTCTGCGAGCTCTTGCAAGATCTTGGGGAAGCTATTTTCCAAAGATCTTCCTCCACATTCGCTGGAGACCAATCTGAAGCACATCTGCATGACCTCCTGCATCACCCCCACCGTGGATCTCAAGACTTCTCGATCCCCTTCCCCAGTGGAGAGGTCGACCTCAGCTTCGGAGGTCGACAAAGCCTCTTCTCGTCCTCTTTCTCGCGCCAGCTCGATGCTCATGGTTTGCACCTGGTCCAATCATCTCCAGCTTTGAACACAGGATAACCGTTGAACAGATTCGCTACCAAGATATGAAAACGCATAACAACCGAACTGTGAGCCGAACACGGATCTTTATAATATTTTGTATACAGTATATATATATATATGTAATTGTTGCATATAGTTACCGTATATTAGCAACCCATACGTGTGCCACATCCTCCTCCTCCTCCTCGTCGTCATCGTCATCGTCATCGTCATCGTCATCATCATCATCATCATCATCATCATCATGATCATCATCTCTCATCATCTATCTGTCATCCCCGTCCCTACTATACCACGAAACATCCCGAACCCCCCC